CTGTTCTCAGTCTGTTCTGTTCTCAGTCTGTTCTTTGTCTGTTCTCAGTCTGTTCTCAGTCTGTTCTGTTCTCAGTCTGTTCTCAGTCTGTTCTTAGTCTGTTCTTAGTCTGTTCTCAGTCTGTTCTGTTCTCAGTCTGTTCTCAGTCTGTTCTTAGTCTGTTCTTAGTCTGTTCTCAGTCTGTTCTCAGTCTGTTCTGTTCTCAGTCTGTTCTTAGTCTGTTCTCGGTCTGTTCTCAGTCTGTTCTCAGTCTGTTCTCAGTCTGTTCTCAGTCTGTTCTCAGGACCGTCTTTGAAAACCACCGACCTTGCGTGTCTCCTCAGAGGTCACACCTCCCGGCACGTGTCCGCTTTCGAAAACGAACATCCAGACGTTCACTTCGACAAGGCCGCAGGCTTGTTTGGACGCGGTGCGCGGTCGTCAGCCCGGCCCTTCGATAATCGCGAATACTTGATGGGCGTTTTAAGGCGACCGGGTGGTGGAAGAACTAAGACTTCTCAGAAAGTCCGTCTAGGTCGTGATTTGGCTCGGAGAGGCCGTCTGTTATATGTGTCTCATCTGAGCGAGCCCACGGCTGTTTTGAACCCAGCGGAGCGCATGAATGGCGAACATTTTACGGCAGTGGGGGTGTGGGCGGAAGCGACGGAGGAGGAGACCTCATTCACCGAATTTTTAGAGGCTAAGTGAAGAAAAAAAACAGACCAGGCCGAGTGTGAAGAGTCGTCACTGTCGCGACCCCCGTGACGCCCCGAAGAAGCGTCCCGTCGACGGGCCTTCGGGGTTCCACAGTGTGACCACAGAGAGGTTCATTGAGCTACAGCTGGAGACGTGCCAAGCTACAGTAGAGAGGTTTGGCTGACACACACACACACACACACACACACACACGGTCGTCCCGTAGAAGTTGTTGTCCACAGGGAACCATGGGCACTCTTTTTGAAATCAACGACAAAATAAGACAACGTGCATAAACGAGGAGGAGACCACGGTGCAACGCGTTGGCTCTCGGTTGTGATCCGTGGAGCTCAGGGAGCTCGATGCACCTCTCTGAAGTTCTGCTCAGGCTGCGCTGGGTTCTGCAGTATTATAATTCACTATGAAAATGCATAATAAAGGTGGCCGTCATAGAAAGGGATTTAGGAATTTACCTGTTTGTAGTTTTTGCACTTCTGCTGAAGTGTAAATCAAACGAGATAGTGAGCTTCAGAGGTGATAGCTGGATAATTGGCAAACGTTTCTCCCTGTTACCAATTAAAGGTTAGTTAAGCTACAAAGGATTCTGCCAGCGTACGGACACAAGAGCATCGATCCTCTCTGCACAATTACCTACATTTTGGACTAAAATGTTTACACGCTGTTGAAGCTCAAAGAAGCATATTACGCCATGACAGTAACAGGGGCAAAGGTGAGCTGCTGGTGATTTGATCACTAAAAACAGTATTGTAGTTACTCTTGTGTGTCGGTGATGAATTATTTCTCTCCGCACCACACATGCGCTTCAAAACACAACCGCTGCAGTTGGAGACAAACCGCGCTTTGGTCCGGAGACGAGGGCCCAGAGGGGCCGGCAGAGTGGCATTAATCAGACACAGATGACCCGGCTCGCAATAAATGCAGCCAAAAGAGAGAGAGAGAGAAAGGGTTGGTATTTGGAAGCCAGACGTGATGAAATGAGGAAAGGGCTCGTTAGGACGGGGAATCGCTCGAGCCTTAAAGGGCTAAAGGTTAAATCGAGGGATGCCAGGTCTTCACATTTCCATTACTCCATCCAATCCTTCCTGATTGCCCGTCTATTTTCAAGGCTGCAGAGCAGCAGAGGACGTGACTTGACGAAATAGGACAGCGGGCCAAAGGGGCGAGGAGGCGTGCAGCTTATCAGCTGATCCCAGGGGGCTGTACAGTTGGTGGGGAGGAAAAAACGAGGATGCGGCAGGACGGATATAGAACAAGGTTGAAGGAGGACATTTTGTGGATGCTCTCGGGCTGTTTGTTCCCCTCCTCCCAATGTTTAACCTCATTCTCCCGCTCGGGTGAGTCCGGCCTCGAGACAAGGGGGCCGATTCAGGGCCTCAACAGGAAAACCGTCTGTTGGAAGTGAGACGTGTCGCTCTTCAAACGGGGCTTTTCGCTTTGCCGGGTTCCCCTTCGCGCTGTCGCTCAGCTGGATGCTTCACCGCTCGCTCGCAGAGGAAGACTTCACTCTCTGCGAGGCGTCACGCACACCACAAGTTACTGCTGCTAATGAACCTCTGTTTAACACCGAGAACACGGGCTCACATGACCGCTGAGATTCAAAAGTGATACATGTAGCATGTTTAGCTGTATATATGTGTATATATATATATTTATCACACCAATCACGCTTAAGAGTAGTTAATCACGTCGGTGAAAATAACTCAAAGCAGATCTGCTGTTCTCTTGACCCCCGTCCTGTAGTTCGATCATGTAATAGTGGACACACACACACACACACACCTGGGTTTAAACATCCAGCATTTAACAGGAGTTGTGTTTCTGATCAGCTGATCCGGTGACTCGGTTTTGGTCGCCACCACACATTTCTAGTTGAAGACGCCTCAAACTCAGGTGTCAGTGACAATAAAAGGCCTCTTTTTCATCTTCAGTCCCAATTGAAACCTTCGCACCGTGACGGACCCGCTGGCGGTGAAAGGGAGTCGGTATCAAACACCAACAGCCTCCTTCTGCACGGAGACCAAGAAACATCAACAACAGCCACACAGCCGGGCCTGTTATGTAAGCCAAATCAAACTGATCCTATGGGGATCGACTTGTTGGGCTTTAGCTGCCGTGACATGGATGAAAATTCAGGCATAATAATGTGCAAGCACTCGCAGAGGGGAAATCATTGCTTTGGTCCTCGTAGGCGGAGCCTCACCTGTCATCATGAAGAGTAAAAAACAAATGATGACAAGATAAAATGAATAATATTCTTCTACTGAGCCGTGCTATAAATGTCTAATCCAAATCGGCAAATTTGTTCAAACAGAGGAAACACGCAAGGCGATAAACGTACGCGGGCAATAAGGCTGATTCTGATATTCTGATATGTGCACTCGCGCTCTCAGAGGAGTAGTAGCTGTGAAAGATACCAACACGATATGCGTGTAAATCTGACGTTTATTTTCCCGTCTCTAAAGACACAGAGGAACACGAAGGCAGCAGTACCGCAGCATCCGTCTCTCCATCCACCCGTCACGCGTGAGCCCAACAGCCTGTGCAAGTCCCACCGCTAATGAGAAGACCTGACGGGATGAAACAGAGGAATTCTGTCTCTGAGGTGGAAGGGAGGAAAATAAAAGCCCGGGGAGGTGGGGGGAGAGGGCGGGGGGGGGGGCAGGGGGGCGGGGGGGAGAAGAAAAGAAAATCCTGACAATATGTTTGAAGCTGTGAGAGACAGAGGTGAGGCGGGTGGAGGAGGGGTGGGACCTCCGAGGCTTTGGAGCCAATTCGAGGACCTTGTGATGCAAAACCGGTCCTCGGCAACAGACAGTTCCCATGGCAACGGCGAGCTGCCAAAGTTCCTTGTTGACAAATGACAGCTCCCCTCTCTCAGCACTCGGCCGTGATGTGCGTGTGTTATTGGGCAAGTCTGCGTCTTCGCCTTGGGCGCGGGGTGTGGGAGGGGCGGGGGGGGGGGGGGGAGGGGGGGAGAGCATTGTGTTTTGTATGCAGACATGCATACACTATACACAACAACACGATGATGGTGCACTACAGAGATCGCCATCCAGGGTGAGGAGGAGTTCTTCTGCAGTTGTCAGGGGGGTAAAAAAACGTCATTCATCCATCAAAATAGTGAAAGAATATCAAACATGAATTAAGAGGAAAAAAAGGATGAACAGTTGGCTTAAAAGTCAAATATAAATGGTTGAAATAACTGGAGAAGACAGTGTTCCATTGTTATTTTGATATAATCGATAAATAGTTCATCCTGCGGTATTAAGTGGCAGCAGACCGTACCTGCCTGAACATTGTAGCAGCGTTTTATTCACCTTTTTAAAATGACAGGTGGTGCTACATCTGGCTTTCTTTATTTTATGTTGAGGACCACTGCCGCAGCACCCGCATAATAACACCTCAAATGAAAGGCCACGTCAAGCACCCATTCAAACGTCGAGAACCTGAGACGTCCGGCCCCTCGGGCGAACGTGAAGCCGGGCGGAGAAAGACGGGCGGAGGCTGAGCGCCGGGACGCGCACACACCCACACCCCCCGCACCCCCGCGGCAGAAGTGTCACGAAGAGATGATCCTCCATCCTCACCTCCCAAGAGAGCCGTCAAGACGTTCAGCAGCGTGATTTCACCTCTCCACACACACACACACACACACACACACACACACACACACACAAACTATGGCTCAGCCGCTTCCAAAGCAAACCGCAGCGAAGTCACACAAAAACCTGCTGAGCATTAGAAATAATCCCGTAATTAGGGTGCACATGGTGAACACTATTACTGGATCAAAGGAACATTCAACCTAAAGCCCAGTAATGCCAGCGGATGACACGCGCACACACACACACACACAGCATCCCACCGATACACAGCATCTGCTGCGGTCATAACAACAAGAAATCCTGAATGAAGAAGTGCTTTGTCTTGTATGTCCCTGGCTTATCTCTGGGCTGTAGGGATCCCGTGTGTGTGTGTGTGTGTGTGTGTGTGTGTGTGTGTGTGTGTGTGTGAGTACTGCAGGGACAATGGATGGGACAGGGAGCAAAGGGAGCAGTGTGGAGGTGACTGCTCTGAGCGTTTGTTAAAAAGATTAACAACAATTGAGCGGCGCGCGGACACCTAAAAAACGTTTGTTCTGTAGAGAGAGCTGTGGGTGCTGCACTCCGCTGAGCATCAGACGGATGGGAGGCGACGAGCGCACACACACACACACACACACACACACACACATGCACGCACACACGCCACAGTACCTTGAACGTGTTGTGATGCAAAAGGGCGGGAAAAAAAGGACGATCCAGTTTTTTTCAACATTTCTTTTACTGATCTTTACACTTTTCACAAAACATCACACAGAAATTATCAGAGCAGACGTGGCTCTTTGTTTTTTTTATAACAGGCATTGCAGTTTGCATTTTCCTTCCTCAGAAACAAAAACTGCTTTGTCAGTTGTTTTTTTTTAATCTTCAAAAAATACCACCGATAGTCACCGTTTATTATTTTTTTTAATCACTTAGGGCTTAGAGAAATGAAACGATACAGGCTGATACGCGACTTGTCTGGATGCAGATGTGTCACTGTGGTCCAAACAGTATTGTGGGTGCACAGCTGTTATTTTAACCCCGCCCCCAAACAAAGAAGAGAGGACAAGTGGCAGCAGTGATTCCCCTTATGAGAGCATCCTGGTCCCTTTCGGTGCGTCACACAACAAACAGAACACGGACTCATTAATCTTTACATCTTGAAGCAACTTTGGTTTTTTGGGGTTCGCCGTCGGCGTGCGGACTCTTCTCTTCAGAGGCGCCAAAACGACACGCACTAACACACAGGAGGCCAGCGACCGCGCCGACTCGTCTACTTCGCTCTCACGCCACATGAGAAGAAGCTGGAGCTGCTTCTCGTCAGCGGACGGACCCGGCCAAACCGCGTCGAGCCTTTTTTCTGAGAGAAGGGGCCCGCGCGCCATCCGCCCCTCAAACACTCCGACAACCCTCTGGGGAGGTCGTGCACGGTCAAGACGGGTAGCGCGAGGAAAACATGCATTTTGAAGTAAAACAAACCGAACGCATTTTGCCGTCTGATGGCCCGCGTCCCGTTTCAGGCAAACGCAACGCCAGATACGTAGTAAGTAACGAGAACAAATACAGTAACACACAATCTACACGGAGCCATGAAAACACTAAGGCACTTGAACTTGTGATTCGATATTTCCGATGTTTGCGATTGTTGTCTCTTGAAGTAATGTGAACGCAGGCGCTGCGCCGTCGCCCGATACGGCGTCGGGATCAACATAAAAAGAATTGCTTAAAATCAAGTTTTAAAATGCTACATCATATGCAAACACACACACACACACGCACGCACGCACGCACACGCACAGAAGCGCACGCACTTCCCAAGTGCACGAGCCTTCACTCCACAGGCTCAGTTTAGGGTCCCGAAACGGGACCGGCGCGCCAACAGGAAGCCCCGCTGAGGCCGGGGGGGGGCTGGGTCTCAGAGACGTCACTCGTGGTACCTATGAAACCACCCTGCGTGACCTTGCGTGACCTTGGCCTACAGACAGTTTGATAAAAATGTCGACAGCGGCCCGGAGGCATCGGCGTGATTTCTTTTCTTCTCGTTCGACTAGGACATCAGCGGCATGGGGTTGAAGGTAGTTTCAAATAAAGCCGACCTGGCGTTGATACATTGCGGGCGGCTCACACCTTCGTCTGCTACGAGGAGAAACGCTCTTCATCGGACGACGGCGGTCGCCATCGTTACACGTTTTCTTTTTTTTAACAGACTCAAGTGACTCGTTGAAAATCGCGGTCATTGTCTCTGAGGCCTGCGGTGCCAGAAGCTCACCTTGTGGAGCTCCTTTCCCGCGGCCTTAGAGTCCAACTGACGAGGTCTCACTTCCTGCCCCCCTTCCTCCTCCTCCTCCTCCTCCTCTTCCTCCTGCGGCCCCTCCTCTTCCTCCTTCCCCCCTTCCGCCATGCGGCTTTCCTCCTTTGTCCTTGTGTGTCCCAGCGAGCTCCTAGTCCTACTTTTCCTGCTCGACTTGTCCTTAACAACATCTAGGGAAGGCCCAGCTTCCCCTCTATCATCCTCTTCCTCCTCCTCCTCCTCCTCCTCTTCTCCCTCTTCATTTTCCTCTTCCTCCTCCTCCTCCTCCTCTTCTTCATCATCATCCTCCTCATCTTCATGCTCTTCTATGGCCACCGTCATCCCTAACTTACTATGGCCGGCTAGTTGAAAAAAAGGGGAGGAGTGCGGCGTGGTCGGGCAGGCCGAGAGAGCTGCGTCGTACACGGAGAACGGGAGGTGGAGGTAGTGTCCCGCGGCCGCCGCCGCCGCCGCAGCGGCGTAGATGCAGCAGCAGGTCTGGGCGCAGTCGGGGCGGAGGTCCCCCTGCCCCCCGCGGACCATTCGTAAGCGCTTACGAAAAGGCGGCCCGGCCTGGGGTGCGAGGCAGATCCGGGCGGGCAAGGCTCCGTGGAGAGCCTGGCCGGCGGGGTTGGCGCCGGGCGCCGGGACGCAGGAGCCGCCGGCAAACGCCGGGTTGGGCGGGAAGCACCAGTCGGTGCTCTGGAGGAGGATCTCAGCTCGCAGGCGCCGCAGGAGGTTGTTGACCAGGACGGAGCGCCGGAGGAAGGCCTCGGGGTCATCGATGAAGCGCATCTTCTCCAGGGAGAGGCGCAGCACGTGGGCGCGCTCCTCCAGGACCGGCGCCACCTGAAGGACATCGTCCCGTTAGAGTATTTCGTTGGGACGCACAACATTCAGGGCTTATGGTCAAATTTAAATGATCTCACATGATGTAATAACTTATTTCATCGGTCAGTTGGGAAGAGAATCACTTCATGGCAGAAAGTGTGAAGAATATCTGATCCTAAATTCATTACATTCTGATTTAGAATCCCCTCAAATTCATGACCGCCAGTAAATTTGAATCTCGGGAATTCCAAATGTATCCACCATATTGTCCCCATTATAAAAGCCTGACATTGTCGTGAGGGCTTTTACTGTCGGATACACGGGGAACTGGCGCGTCTACACTCACCGTTTGGCAGTACGTCCTGAAGCTGAATCGGGGCTCGTCGTCATCCTCAACAAACTTCCTCTTGAAGTACGCGATCCTCGACACCGACACGCGATCGGGGACCCGCCTGCAGGGGGCTTCTGCAGGAGGAGCAAGTGACACATGTGAAAATCCCATCATTTGTCAAAAGTTCAGTAATAAACAAGAATACAGAATTGAACTGCGCGTCAAACTTTACAAATCCCAGATGAAGTAATATAAATATATATTTTTCAAAAGCACAAGTGTTTTTAATTTAGGATACGATGCAAAAAAGTCACCAGTCTAACGTGAAGAAGCCCGAGAGTTATGACTTATGAAGCGATAATAACACCGTAGGAGGCCATCCGCAGAAACATCCGCACCTCGCGTGAGCGGCTCCACGGGGGCGCGCGTGAGCGGCTCCACGGGGGCGCGCGGTGGCGGCGACGACGACGGCGGCGGCGGCGCGCTCGACCGGCGGGCCGCGGCGCAGCGCTCAGAGTCCCACGCGGGCCGGTAGGTGGCGAGCGGAGGGTCTCCCTCTGGGTCCAGGAAAGGATTCATGGACAGAACTAAGGTCATCGCTCTCTCTCCGATTCAGG